GATTATGTATAATTTAAATAAATCATAAGTTTATTTGATTTCGGTCTAATTTCCGAGAAGAAGGCGCTTTTCTTCTCAGACCCTTTCCTAGGATGTTATGCATTAGATAATACGAAGGAGGTTTGTTTGGCTTTTGCATACCTTGCTAAACACTGGAAAAAATTTGAAGGAGGAGGCAGCGAGATTTGTGGATTCTTATGATGGGAGCTAACATGAATTTAGGGAGTATGTAGCGCTGGTAGAGAATAAGGTATCTCTCAAGATCAGGAGCTCTTCACTGAGTACTAGCATGGTCAGGAGGTCAGCTGAATGCATGTTAATCTAAGTGTATCCTTCTCTCTGGAGAAATGGGCCTTGTCCCCTTCTCATATCCGTTTTTCTTATTTTTTTCTTTTTTTTTTTAGATGGAGTTCTCACCCTGTCACCCAGGCTGGAGGGCAATGGTTCAATCTGGGCCTCACTGCATACTTCCACTTCCCGGTTCCAAGGCCGATTCCCTCTGCCTTTAGCCTCCAAGTAGTTGGGATTACAGGCGTGCACCACTACACGCTCTGCTAATGTTTTTTTTTTTTTTTGTAATCTTTTAGTAGAGACGGGGTTCACTATTAATCTCCTTCCGGCCAGCGCTGGTTTCAACTCCTGACCTTGTTGATCTGCCCACTTTGGCCTCTCAAGAATGCTGGGTTACAGGCGTGAGCACCATCCTGGCCCTCTTACATTGTTCTATTGAGTGACTAAATGGTTCGAAAGACACACAACCTCTTTAGGGGTCATTTAATGGTATCAAGAAAGGTGGAGAAGAGATAATTACGCTTTTTTCCAATATCTTAGGGCACAACACTTTTGCACCACTGGATTCAATTCTGCCCTCACACTATCATTATACAAACACCACTGCCGAAATGATGCATATCTAACCAATTTTATCAGGGTACAACCATATAATAGAAATTACTACTGAGGCAGGAGGATTACTTGCACCCAGGAACAGCCTGGGCAACATGACAAGACCCCGTCTTAGACAAAATAAAAAGTGGCACAAGGAAGTTTTTAGGTGATTGATGTTTATTGTCTTATGGTGGTGGTCTTACACACGTATCTTTATATATGTCACAACTTCTCAAATTTTGCAGGTTTAAATATGTGGAGTTTATTGTATGTCACCTATACCTCAACAAAGCTGTTTAGAAAAATGGAAAGGAGGTAATTGACTTTTTAAAGCTTCACGCAGAGTCACTTGGACCAGAAGAAAATAGACTCATCCAACACCCTCCTTCTTCCTCTATGGGCACTGACTATAATATCTCTATTAGCATACAGATATTTTAAAAATTTATATAAATATTTTTGATTGACAAACCATAATTATATACATTTATAGGGTACAAAAGTCCACAAAAGGAAAAAGTGATAAAACTGGATTCATTAAAATAACATCCTTTTTTTTTTTTATTAAACTTGAAAAGACCCTGAAAAAATGAATTACAGACTGGGAGAAATAATTTGCAACCATTATCTGACAAAGAACTTACATCTAGCTATGTAAAGAATTCTCAAAACTCAATAGTAATAAAGGTACCAGTTAGAAAATAGGCATATGTGACCTCTCTGTATTATAACTTAAACCTCATGTGACTCTACAATTATTTCAAATGAAATAAATGAAACAGTAATGCCTGTTTCTAGCATATAAAATAATCAGAGAACATGGAATTGTCAAAGTTAAATTATTGGACCATTTACTTAATTTAAATATTTTTAAATGCATGTACCATTTTGCTTGAAGGTGTGTACAAGTATGCTTGATTTTTTTTTTTAACGATAATATGGTTACATGAGCATTACTTTATTTCTTAGAAGTTTACAGTTACCCACACTGTTCTTATTGATTCCCTCATTCTTAACAGCTGCATAGTATTTCATTTTATAATTAGTGGATTGTAGGTTTATTCTTTTAAAATCACTTCTGTTGTTCTCATGTTTTTTGTTTTTTGTTTTTTTCCCACTAAAAAGTGTTGCAATGCACGAAGCTACAAATACAAGGAGGGTCTTTTCTGTATTTTTTGTGAAAAACTTTGAATAAAAATTGG